TGGTTATATAGTTATGTGCTTAGCTTCCTTAATCTCATTTTCTTAAATAAGAAAAATTAAAGGGCCAATCAAAATGGTAGATAAAGCATTGACTAATTAAGATCCTCTGAAGATATATATTGGCAGAGAATGTCTCTTTCCTTTTCATTTTCAAATTGGACTCTTTTTTTTTTATATAAGGATTTAATAAATCTCTAGAAAATTTGAAAATTTTCACCGTTTATTGTCCCGTGTTTAAAGACTCCTTCTTAAAATTAAAGATAAACATTATTTTATAATTATATAATAAAAAATACTCTCCATGACCATCGGTTTTTAATATTTTATCTACGTACTTATAAGTTAGGTGTTTGTATATTTGCAAAATAAATTATTAATTTATTATTATGAATAATGTAGCTTTCTGACATACTTTTTTATAATTTACATTAACTGGCACTGATGATGGTGATTTTTTCCCCTAAAATAATATTGGTGGGACGGAAAGAGAAAGAAGATACTGTGATGAGTGGGAGAAGAGGTTTCACGGTTACACATTATTTGGTCCATTTTTTATTTTTCACATAAAGAAGTCTATTTTACAAGAGACTTTTGAGGGTTTTTTTTTTATCCTATTCCTCCCTATTATACTCTCATTAAAAGGGAGTATTTATTAATAAGATTAATTATTAAATGAAGAAATTTTAAAAAAAATGGTTTTTTTTGGTTTTGAGCATCAATTACTATTTATTTGTTTCCTAATTAAAGGGAGAAGGGACAGGCGAGAGCAATTTGTGAAATTTTTATATTTTAATTGACAACTGGTCCCAACTTGTCCACAACTTGGGCCTTGCTGTCATTATCATAACATGTGTTTTCAAAAAAAGAAAAGAAGTTATCATTATATATATATATATATGTTCATCTAGATATCTTGTCGTTTTCTATTTCAAAGTTCAACCAATAATCGAACTTCATTATTATTTTTTTTTCCAACTAATCCAACTTTATATTGCTTCCTCTGACTCGGAACGTGATCAGATCACGCCCCACACGAGATTATCTCTCATCTCAATCTTCCTCTCCCTCTCCTCCAACGGCGATCATCTCTCTGTTTGTTTCCTGCTCCAAATTTGATTCCCAGCTCCAATCCGTTTTTTTCCCCTGTCGATCCCCACTCACTTTCTCCGGATTGAACATTGAACAATCAAAAGCAGCCGCCATTCGTGTAATTACAACTAGCCAGCCCAGAAATTCAAGCCAATGGGGTTTGAGAATCAAGCAAGTTCATCGTCCTACTCTTTACCACCGTACCCACGAGAAGACACTCCTCTTCTCACCAAATCTCCTCCTCTTTCCTCCAACTTCAAGACCTTCGCCAACATCTTCATCGCCATTGTAGGTGCTGGTGTCCTTGGTCTTCCCTATTGCTTCAAGCGAACGGGATGGGTCCTGGGCTTACTCATGCTTTTCACCGTCGCTTTTCTCACCTATCACTGCATGATGCTTCTGGTCTACACTCGCCGTAGGCTCGAATCGATCACGGGTTTCTCCAAAATCAACTCATTCGGCGATCTCGGCTTCGCCATCTGTGGTCCCATCGGCAGATTCTCCGTCGACGCCATGATCGTCCTTTCTCAAGCTGGGTTCTGCGTGAGCTACCTAATCTTCATTTCCAATACTATGGCACATTTAGTAAGCCATAACACACCAACATCCCCGATTTTGGGTTTATCCCCGAAAGTCCTATTCCTCTGGGGTTGCTTTCCGTTTCAATTGGGGTTGAATTCCATTCGAACTTTGACCCACCTGGCTCCTCTTAGCATATTCGCTGATGTGGTCGATATAGCAGCGAAGAGTATAGTTATGGTGGAGGATGTGTTTGTGTTTATGAAGAACAGGCACGCTTTAGAAGCATTTGGTAGCGTTTCGGTATTCTTCTATGGTGTTGGTGTGGCAGTGTATGCTTTCGAAGGAATTGGAATGATTTTGCCTTTGGAATCAGAAGCCAAGGACAAACAGAATTTTGGAAGGATCCTAGGTTTGGGTATGACAGTGATTTCTCTCCTGTTTGGAGCATTTGGCGCTCTTGGTTACTTTGCTTTTGGGAATGAAACCAAAGATATCATCACTACCAATCTGGGACCAGGACTCGTGAGCACTCTGGTTCAATTGGGACTCTCTATCAACCTGTTCTTCACTTTTCCATTGATGATGAACCCTGTTTATGAAGTTGTGGAAAGAAGGCTGTGTGATTCTAGGTACTGCTTGTGGCTGAGGTGGTTGATGGTATTAGGGGTAAGCTTGGTGGCTCTTTTGGTGCCAAATTTTGCGGATTTTCTGTCACTAGTAGGAAGCAGTGTGTGTGTTGTGCTAAGCTTTATATTGCCTGCCATGTTCTATTATCTGGCATTCAAAAATGAGTTGGGTTGGAGATCTAAGATCTGTAATGGTGCAATTGTTGTTTTCGGATGCATTGTGGCAATCTCAGGAACTTGGTCTTCTTTGATGGAGATTTTTGCACCTAAGGCTTAATTGGGTATAAACATTTCACTTTGCTGTTTGATATATTTATAACTATTCAGCCACAAAAGGCCGTGAAAGTTGGGTTGGGATTCACAGGAGTTTAAGTCTTGTTCATCCAATCCAATGCGGGGGAGGATTCATTTCAGTCTGTTGGGATTCGATACGAGGATTTTAGTCTTGTCTTGTCTAAAATCTCATCCCTTAAATGCAATCTTCGGGAGGATTTCAGTGTTGCTTTTTAGTTTTTAGAGTCCAAAAAGGTTTCAGTCTGGTCTCGTATGAAATCTCAGCCCTTAATACGATCGAAGGGACTTGAGATTCCATACAATTCAAAGGGATCACATGAACTGGATAGTAGTTGTAAACTAGTAAGTGCTGAATGATGAAATAAAAGGTTGCTGATTTGCCAGGCAACTAGCGTGTTTTTAATTTTTGATTCTCTCATTAGATCATGTAAATTCGAAGAAATAAATGTAAGAAATAGAATGCCACCCAAGAGGGATGTTAAAGTTGTAGAATATTTAAAATGTTTTTATAATAAATAGAGTTTCTTTGTTGAAGTAAATCCAATGTTAGAATCTTATTGGCAAAAATACTTGAACGATTTCCACAATTTAGAAGCTAGAATAGGATTTCTAGAAGGTAATTTTGAAGTTAAAGCTATAAATACTTGAAATTCAGCTTTAAATAATAAAATAGAATGCAAACAAAAGCCGCTACAAATATAAAGAGTTAAAGGATCAAGAGCTTGCAACCAGTGATCCTCTCTGTTTTAACCCTGTTCACTTGAGCCTATTTTCAACCACAATTACGAGAAATCCATCAGAAATCAACTTTGAAATTTGTTGAGCTAAAATCCTTTTCAAACATTTTTTAAATTGTAAGGATAAGGTGTCTCTTAGATAGTTTATAAAGGTGAGATATCTCCAAAGAGAAGAGTCTTCACTGTGATGACTCGCAGGTGACTAATTTAAACTTGGGGACAATAGGAAAAGAACGCATTACCCTTTTAGAAATTGAAAACAGGTTCAAGTGAATAGAGTTAAAACAGAGTAAATTATTGTTTGCTAGCTCTTCATCCTTTTACTCTTTGCATTTGTTTTGTAGTGGATGTTGTTTGCATTCTGTTTTATTATTTAAAACTGAATTTCAAGTATTTTTATAGCGCTTCTAACGTTGGATTCACTTAAACAGACACACTCTATTTATTATAAAAATATTTTAAATATCCTAAAAATTTAACACCCCTCTTATGTGGTATGCTATTTCTTAAATTTTTTTTCTTCAAATCTACATTATCTAATTCCAGAAGGGGGGGAAAAAAAAGGCGGAAGGGGGAGTATAAGAGAATCAAAGATTAAAAACGTGCTAGTTGTCTGGCAAATCAGCAACCTTTTATTTCATGATTCTACACCTACTTGTTTACACGCAGAGCAAGATGAGGAGACTGAAATTTTATTACTCAAATGATAAAGATAAAAACATTTGATGGCTCAATAAATAATGATTTCCAATAAAAAATAATTAAACATTTCGACATTTTAAAAATATTTTGAGTTTGCAAAACACGTTTGGTCAAAAATGCCTCCGTGGATATCATAAAAAAATTAATTTTAAAGGTCAAAGTCATCGTTGCATTAAATCGTTCAAATACCTTCATTTTTCTCAAGCCGTGATTTCAAGCCTCAATCATGTTATGTCATAAACAACCTATGTCTATGTCTGCGTTTCAATTCTACTCAAAATCAATTTCCCAACATCTTCATCTTAATACTTTTGAAAAGCAAATATATCTCCATTGATCCACCACACAAAATAGGTCATCAAAGGTTAAGAACAAGTATGGTCTAATGTTCTTTTTCTTCTTCGGATAATACCAATGTTCGCTTTCTTCGTGTAAATAAGTACATGTATAATACAAATAAAGCAGACACAACATATATTGCTGTGCACAGGGCCATTGCTATAGTATATAGAGATGCCTGATGTGTGATTTTAAAATAGGCTTGTACGGTAAATTTAATACCCGCATTCATAGACGAGACAGAGAAACGAAGAAGGAAGGAAGGTGGAGAAAAAAGTGGAAAGATTGAAGAGCGTCTCTTGTCTCGCCTCACAAACATTGGCACTTTTCTCTCTCTCCTTTCTTTATTTCCTTTCCCCCAAATCAAAGCTTCAAATTTGGTCATGTCCTAGAAATCCCACGTCCAAGCAATTTCAATCAATAGTCAAATCATTTCTTAATTCGATTCAGATCAGACTTTTAACGGAAAATTAACAAGTCCAAGAAAACTTGTAAAAGGAGATGTCTTGCTCATCGTCATCCGGGTCTGAGGAAGAGGATGAGGGCTTCGATTCCTACAGAAAAGGAGGCTACCACGCCGTCAGGGTCGGCGATCAGTTCGCCGGTGGGAGGTACATAGCACAGAGGAAGCTGGGGTGGGGTCAGTTTTCCACCGTCTGGCTCGCTTACGATACTCGCAATTCTGTATGTTTGATCCTCGCTTTTTTATCTCCCACACTGTATTTTCTGAATTTGGTATCCTACTAATAGTTACTTCAAAGAGAGGGAGATTTTCTTGAGTCGCTTGTCCGTCATCTTTGATTGATTTGGCGTATGATTCGTGTCCCAGATGCGAAACTCTACACATCATTTCCTGTTGATGCAATCTGTTTTAAATCTATAGGAGTAGAGTTATGAATAATTTTGATGCTGATGTATTGGTATTCTTCTTATTTGGGCAAAGGCAATAACTTGCTCTGTTTTTTTTTCCCCCCTCCCTTTTTAAAGGTGAAGGTTCCAAGATCTTCCTTACATATCTTCCACCGACACTTTATTGAACTATTGATCCATAGTCCAAATTACGTAGAAATTGTGTTTTGATCTGTGATAGATTTTATTTCAGCATTTTTTTTCCTCCCTGCTTCTATGCTTTGGTTCGTCCTTACCTTAGATTTTCAAAATTTCTATATTAACTTTTCTATCCTAATTATATCACTCTATTAAACTAATCGAATGTAGATTCATTGGTTTTGGGATGGCAATATCGTTAACTGGCAAATCTTGTTTTCATCTGACAACACTCCGGTACCTTCTTTCTCAACTAGTGTACGTAGTTGTCAAGATGTATCACAAGTATACAAATTCTTCTTGTTGGAATATAACGGCCAATGGTCACCACGGATGTTTTCACATTTACGCTTCTTATATGCTGACACAATGATGCTTATGGATCTGGATTCTTTGCTGCTCTGCAGCAGCAACAGATCTGGATTGTCTTGGAAACATCAGTAGAGGATCCATGTCCAATGCTTATAGACTGTTTATTTCTATTTTGCTTCATTCTAAAATTTAATAATGGAATCTTCAGGGCCTATATTGGCCACTCTCGTTGGTAGGCATGCAGTGAGCTGCATGTGGCAACGATGTCAATCTGAATTCTAATTTGGATCAGGCAAAACAGAGTGTTTAGAGTCTTTAAAACGAACAATTACCAGGGTCATGGGTTTGCTACTTTTGCTACCTCAAACCACTTTATTTGATGTAGAACTTACATTAATGCTTGAATTTGGTAGAGAGAAAGGGCCTAAAGAAAAAAGAAATGCAGAGAGAGAGAGAGAGAGAGAGAGAGAGAGAACAATCTGAGTCTGTATTTTTTACATCGAATATATTCTAATGTGAATTTTGTGGTTTTCAGACATATGTTGCCCTCAAAATCCAGAAAAGTGCAGCCCAGTTTGCCGAGGCCGCCCTTCATGAGATAAATGTTCTTTCATCCATTGCTGAGGGAGACCCTTCAAATTCAAAGTGTGTCGTCCAATTGATTGACAACTTTAAGCATTCAGGCCCAAATGGGCAGCACCACTGCATGGTCCTTGAGTTCCTTGGTGATAGCTTGCTTCGTCTGATCAGATATAGACGTTACAAAGGCCTTCCAATGAATAAAGTTAGAGAAATTTGTAAATGCATTTTGATTGGTTTGGATTACTTGCATAGCGAACTTCGCATAATCCACTCAGACCTAAAACCTGAAAATGTCCTCCTCTTATCCACCATTGATCCTGCCAAAGACCCAGTTAGATCTGGACAAAGCCCGATTCTGGAGAGGCCTGAGGGAAGCATAAATATGGGATTTTCAAGTGTTATTGAGAAAAAGTTGAAAAGGAGAGCCAGAAGAGCAGTTGCTAAAATATCAGGAAGAACTTCTTTAGGAGAAGCTGGAGAGGCTCCAAAATCTGATAGAAATGTTGATGGAATTGATGTGCAATGCAAGATAGTTGATTTTGGAAATGCGTGCTGGGCAGATAAGCCATTTGCAGAGGAAATCCAGACGAGGCAGTACAGAGCTCCTGAAGTTATACTGCAGGCTGGGTACTCCTCCTCTGTTGACATGTGGTCTTTTGCTTGCATTGCTTTTGAGCTCGCCACAGGTGATATGATGTTTACTCCCAAGCCAGGACAAGGTTTTAGTGAGGATGAGGTATATGGTTTGCACTTTCTAGTTCATAAGAAATAGTAGCTGCTTAGTGAAATTATGATATTGTTTATGCATAGGCTGATTGGTAGCTTGGACTTGTTTGCTGCAATATAGTAGTTAGATGATCACATAACAAATATCTGGCTTCGCTAATTTTGAGAGTTATAGCTTTGTAGGGCCTTAAACCAGTGGAGTCTTATTGCTTAATCCTGTCTAAAATGATTCAATATATGTTACTATGTTGGGTACCAAAATAGCAAAGAAAATAGAGTAGGATAGAATATTATCTAGAGCCAGAATCTGTAACTCTAGAAAGAAGAGAAGGAGAAGTTTGGTCTGAATAATACTGCCATTACATCACGATAACTGATACATGATTGTCTTAAATAGTTTGGATAACAATAAGTGGCTAATATTAAAGTAGAAACTTACAATAACCAGCAAATAGAAACTGACTTACAGATTGATTAAGTTAAAAACTACCCCATATCCTCTCACTTTCTCCTAGAGTACACAAGGAGAGGAAGCTGAGTGCTAACATACTAAATAGAACATGATGGGCATCCAAGTGGGGTGGGGACCCTTCTCTGAATAGCTATTGAGGTGGGAGAACTACCCCACTTAACTACCTCATGATCATCTTGCACCACTAAACGTGGAGTCAGACATCACATACTATATAGACGTTTAGTTTTTTTTTTTCCCTGCTGATTGTTATTTCACACAATCCATAAGCATGCAGTGAGTGCAAGCATCTTTAAATGTGGAATTTGAATTATACTTTGATTTGTTCATAAAAGAAAAAGGAATAGTTATTGTCAAATTCTTAGTTTAAATGGCAAATTAAACTGGTTCTGACTGCATTAATGCCGTGCATTGTGTTGACTTCAGGACCACCTTGCCCTGATGATGGAACTCCTTGGAAAGATGCCCCGGAAGGTGAATGTTCATATTTATACTATCTTAGCGTAGTTCTTGGAAGCTATTCCGGTATTCCTAATACTTGTAAAATGCAGGTTGCCGTCAGTGGAGCGAAATCCAAGGATTACTTTGACAGACATGGGGATCTAAAAAGAATTAGGAGGCTAAAATTCTGGCCACTTGACAAATTTTTGATTGATAAATACAAATTTTCAGAGAGTGATGCTCGTGAGTTCTCAGAATTTATTTCTCCACTTCTGGATTTTTCCCCAGAGAAGCGGCCAACTGCACAACACTGTTTAGAACACCCATGGCTTAGTGGTCAAGCCAACTCCAAATAATGAGAAATGATTCTAGTTTGTGAAAGGTTGATGGTTGGGGCTTTATAAAACTAATGGGAGAAAGCGAAGGGAAGAAAAGTATTTGACAGAGCCATAGTTACTGCATTTTAAGCTCCTCCTTCCACATATAATAACCTGTTATTGGTTGTGATTCTTTGTTGATTTGTTCCGGTTGTTATTTTTTATTGGGTTAATATACACAAAGATGTATAGTAGAGAATTTTGTTCCTCTAGAGACAATATACACAGGAATTTGCGTGTATATTCTTTTTTTAATTAATAAAGTTATTTTGGATCCAATGTTATTGTATGATCAAATCCCAGTGTTTTTCAGATCCATTTTGCATCTTTTTTTTGTTTTCTTTTTCAGTCTCTCCATATGTTTTAACTGTGGTTGACAACTTGACATTCATCCCAATAAGTTGTAAAAGCTTGAAGCTTTGGTTGGAGTGCGTTTACTATTAAAATTTTCACATAAATATTTAATTATGTCTTTATTTATTATTCATGAACATAAGCTGTTCAAATATAAAGTAGATATTAAATAGAAATAAAATTAAAAAATTATTAAATTTAAAGATAAAATTATCAATATTTAATTTTTCCCTTAATTTTGATATAAAATGTTAGAAATGTCTTATAAATGAAAGAGGAGAGCATGAATTACATTATTTTTAGATTCTACATAATTTTTATTCCTAGGAGGAGAAGGGGGAAAATAGCAGCAACAGGGAACTTTATCGGATGGAAAGATTAGCCAAATCATGACTTTTTATGGCAAATTTAATTAGCAAGAAGTTACACAAACAACTTAAAACCAATCCAAATTTTTAAGAATACCCATTCCAAACTAAAACTACAGCTACCAGAAAGGTTGGTAATATGAAAATTAAGACATGACGAAGCAAACGAAGACAAAGAAGAGCTGTTATTTTGGTGCTACCCATACAAGGCGAAACCAAATCATCGGAAAAGTCGAAAAGGAAACATGCGCCGCCATTCAAATCCATTTTGTTTTTGTTTTTGTTTTTTTAATTTTTTAAATATATTTGGTAGTTCATATAATAAAGAGAGAAGAAAAAAACCCAACCTTTTTTGTTTATGGAAATCTAATAACCTCTTATAATCAGAATAGGGCTAAAATAACAAAGTTCACGTTAAAATTGAGCCAGTTTACCAATCCAATTGGCATCCCGCAGCATAAGTCTTAGCCTTCGTATAAACATGATTAAGAATATGCTGTCCTCTAATTTGCACCTTCATGTATTATTACCTCTTCTCATCAAATGAACTAGTTTTCTTCCCCTTCTAACAAAACACATGAAGTAAGATCCATGTGATAGATGAACTTTTGTACCAACTGCTACATTCACTCATTTGCTTACCATAGAAAATGCACCATTCCTAGTTCACATTAGGTTTCAACAGTCTTGAATCCTCAAGGGTAATCATGTTAATACGGTAATATGGAACTACGGGAACAAGCATTTGTTCAATAATAACCTTTGATTTTGCAAGACCATCTATTAACGCCACCACACCCCCATGCTCAGGCACAGGTGCATATGAAAGACACAGCATACACATCATTAACTTTGGAAATTTTCATTTCTCCTTTAGGAACCCCAAAATGCACTTAATTCAATAACAGAAATTTCATATACAGGAAGGAATTAAAAAAATTTCGCCATCAGGAGCAGATGTATCACTTAATAGAACAGACATTATCATCATAAATCCCTTCAATTTTGTCACCTTTAGCACCTGTCTTCAACCAGCTAGATAGAGCTCTGCTTTCAAATAAAGGTTGTTTAACACATCTATTTAAGAACCCACACTAAACCTTAGTTTTAAGGTAGTTCAAAAGCATAACTCTACAATGTACAGAGAGGAAAATAAATAAAAGCACACCAAAGACACAGGATGGCACTAATGTACTGAAAGTATACAGGGTTTTTTCATCTATACTAGCTAAATCAAACGAATTTTAGCAAGAGGAACTTTTCTTATTTCAGTTTAACCTCGTTTCTATATAAATGATCCAACAAAGGACTGCACAATTTTATTTTATTTTTAGCGAAAATATACCCTCTCTCTCCTCTCATTTCTAACTCTCATCAGTTTATGTTAAAACACAATAACTATTACTCACAACACACAGGAATTACCAATCTCTCTCCCGACCACCTTAAGATCTCTCAGCGCCTCCTCAGTAACATACTAGAAACTCTCAAAAGATCTACATTTCATCTTAGTGAGAAAAGCCAAAGCATTGATATAACATAGAAGTGCATAATTGTCCAGATAGAGAGTAATAGCAATTCTGTCACCAACTCACACAATCACATAAGCTAAAAAGAAATAAAAGACTATGGGGTTGCTCTACGGTCATATTCCCCTTTCTAATCCCAACTGAACAAACCAGGATTGTACCCGAGAAAAAAAAAAGAGAAAGAATCACCAATAGAAGATATAAAAAATGTGACTCATCTTGAGCTTTGTACAAATGCATAAAGACCATTTTATTAAATAACTCAGTAGGCAATCATGATCATTCAGAACTCAAAACATGTTCAGACACAAAGAATAACAAGCCAAAAAAAGGGAAGATAAAGTAAAGCAATGGAGCTCCTCCAATACACAATAGCATCTACAATTGCATAACAAGCAAGATGCACTAAAAAAAAAAAAAGAGGAGCAAATATCGAAGGAAACGTTTTGAAAAATTAGTGAGTATTGCAAAACATATGTGTTGCCTGAATTTATCAAACACTCATATCTATCCCCAAAATAAGGTCTGAATTCGTTCATTACGCTTATTCGCCCATGAGTAGATAACAAAAAAAGGTGATAACAATAACAACATTAATGGGTATGGCTTAATAACAAAAGCCTTTCATAAAATCTTAAAGAAGGGGATGATGTTGCAGATTCCAGCACAAAAATTTGCGAAACATATATAATCCTCACTTCACAAAACTTCGATAGTTTAGTATACAAAACAACCAAAGGTTCAAATTCCAAAGAATTCGTAAGCCATTCAATCTTATCTTACCGAAAAACAGAAGAAAAGAAACAAAAGGTAAGCCCCTCAATTGATTTTTCCATAAATTGTTAAAATAGGTTATAAATCTAGAACCCTAACCGCTCGGACCAGCTTGATCATGATTCCCAGAACAGCACCCGCCATCACCATGATCATGGGGATGTTTATCAGGGTTATGGCCGTGCTCGTCATCTTCATCGCTATCGTCTTCATCAAAGGGTTTCTGTTTGTGAAAGATACAGCACTTCTTGGAGCTCTTCTTCTGCATAAACTCGTTGTCTATGGTGCCATCTTTCCAGCTGACCTTCTTCTTCTTGCGATTAAGGGGAAGGAAAAGGACTTCCGGCTGTGGTGCTGTTGTTGTGATTGGTCCTGCGACGAAGAGGATGGATCGCTGGAATGAATGGTTACGGTGGTTGTGGCGGTGGTGGAAGGCGAAGACAAAGCTAACTGCCTGGTCGAGCCCATCGGTCTGGCGGCCATCGCTGGCGGATCAAAATCTGAGGAAGTTTCAGGAACCACGAATGACGCGGGAGTTTTCTCTGAAACAACTTGATCGTTTCGTCATATATTCCCCTCTCACCGTCGCTGGTTTTTAATAAAAGAAAATTAAAATTATTTGTCTTAATTTGCGTAGATTATAAAAATTAGTTAAATTAATTATTTATAATAAATAGATATTACCTTCTTTAAAATACTCTTACAAAGTCTTACTCATCTAATGTACTAGTTAAAATTTATATTTTTTTGGTTAAAATATAGTTATCCTTCTATTGGAGACAATCCTATTCGAAACACTGTTAAACACTAAATGTGAATATCTCTCTCAACTGGAATTTAAATCTTAATTCACCACGCTACGAGGATTAGCTTTCTCACTTAACCAACCCATTGATAATTGAAATTTATATTTAGATATGTTAAACATGGGAATAGCATTTTGAATTAGGCGTGGGCCCATGCATTTCATTCTGGTCTTGGGCCACTCCACGGTTATCGTTGGAGTCCAGAGAGCAAAGAAAATTTTCTCTTTAGCAAGGACACTGTCTTCTCATTATATTAGAGGTAATTTTCTTTGAGATACTATCAAACATTATATATAAACACATCGTTTAGTAAAAATTTAAGCCTTGATTCACTATGCTATGAAAAATTAGTTTTTTTTGTTAGGCATAGCCCTCTTATTGGTGAAAGCAAAGTAAATTGACTGAATAAAGAGGAGGAGGAATAGAGTTCAAACACTCAAAGATGACCAAAACAATTAGATAGAAGGCAAAAATGAAGCTGGCCAGCTTGTTAACAAGTTCTTCCAAAAGTTGTTTACTGAAGAAGATGAACAAAGACCTTGGGTTCAGACCAAACAAACCTGGCCATCCATTGGTTCAGAGGAATGGGCAGAGATAAATGCAAACATCTCAGATGAAAACATTAAAGCTGCTATGTTTTCAATAGGAGGACTGAAAGCACCAGGTGATGATGGATACCAGCAATTTTCTTTTAGAAAAATAGGGAGCTCATAGGAAATGATGTCTGCAAAGTGTGAGGAATCTATGGGAAAATCCGAGAAGAATAGAAGAGGTGAACAACACTATGATTACTTTGATTCCGAAGGTAGACTGCCCTGAAAGAGTTCAGTAGCTTAGACCCATCTCCTTATGTAACGTGATCTATAAATGTCTTTCCAAAGTGATTGTGATAAGACTAAAGGAGGTCATGACACGACTAATATCCCTCTTTCAAGTCAGCTTCGTTCCGGAAGAAATATTCATGACAATATCATCATTGTTAATGAAATGATCCACTCCATGAGAAAGAAAAAAAGGAAAAAAAAGGATTTATGGCAATCAAAGTGGACCTAGAAAAAGCTTATGAAAGACTCAGTTGAAATACCTCCAGAAAGTCTTGGAGGAATTAACTTGCCCAGAAGATATGATAAATAGAATCATGAGATGCGTGGATACCACTTCAACAAAAATTATCTGGCATGGAGAAAAATTAGAGACCTTCTACCCTTATAGGGGTCTTCGACAAGGGGATCCTCTCTCCCCCAATCTCTTTATGCTCGGCATGAAAAAACTTACACATATGATTAGTGAGAGAGTCAGAGAGAAACACTGGAGAGGAATGAAGCAGGTCGAAATGGGCCCATCATATCACATATGATGTTTGCTGACGATTTTATTCTTTTTGCAGAGGCAGACTTAGATCAAATTGACGTGATTCTAAAATGCTTGCAGGAGTTTGGAGACATGTCGGGGCACTGTGTGGGCCAGGAAAAGACTTACATCTACTTCTCACCTAACGTAGCTCAACATTAAAGGTGAGTAATCTGCAATAGAAGCAAATTCTAGCAGGTGAACAAACTGGGACGCTACTTGGGTGCAGATATCTCATTTTTGAGAAAAAGGAGAGAAAAATACAACACCATTATTGATCGAGTGAAGAAACGACTCAGCGGGTGGAAAGCTTCCCGTCTCTCAATGGCCGGAAGGTTAACTTTGGTGAAATCAGTGACGAGCTCAGTGGCACTCTATCCGATGCAACATGACAAGATACCTCATGGAGTGATTGAGCAACTGGAAAAAATACAAAGGAGCTTTGTTTGGGGCGACACAAAGGAAAGCAGACATTGGCATGCAGTTGCTTGGGAGAAGATGTGTAAACCTAAGGGCGAAGGAGGGGTAGGAATCAAGTCACTCAAATGCATGAATGAAGCCTTGCTCATTAAGCTTTTTTGGAGAGCCCATCAAGACCCGAAGGATCTTTGGGTTAAGGTGATCCAAGCAAAATATGGAGGAACAGCAAAGGTGATAAGCAATTGGTAAGGAGAAGTGGAGACTCAAGACTATGGAGAGAACTTACCAAGCTGTGGGAGGCTTATGTTACGAACATGGAATATATTCCAGGAGAGGAAACGAGAGATGAGGAGGGGAGGCATATAGAAAGAGAAAAGTTGCACTAGAAACTAACAAGCAATGACAAGTTTACCACTGCAAGTGCTTATAAATTCCTTCATGCTAATAAGGAGAGAGTGGAGGAGACGATATGGAAGGAATGTTGGAAAATTCAAGCTCCAGAGAGAGTAAGGCTGTTCTTATGGCATGTGTTACCCAAAAGGCTACTAACAAAAGAAATTACTAGAAGGTGGGATGGAAGTGTGGGAAGGTGTGAAATCTGTCAAAATCAGACAGAAACTCTAATCCATGCACTAAGGGATTGCCCACATGCAACATATGTGTGGCGACAACTAGTGCCAATTGACAAGAGAGCAAGTTTTTTTGGTAAGGAGTGGTCTGACCGGCTAAAAAGCAATTTAACAAGGAGATCAGTGAATGGATATGAGGGAAACTGGGCTGATATTTTTGCTGTAGTATGCTGGTTTATTTGGATATGGAGGAATAAGAAGATACATGAGGAGGAATTTACATTACCGAATAATGCAGCAGAAGTTATTCGAACCTATATTAGCAATTATCAGCAAAAATGGGATGGTAATAGCTTGGAGGGGACAAGAAGCACTATGGTAATGGTCACTTGGGAGGCACCACAATCTGGGTGGTGTAAACTAAATGTGGATGGGAGGATATCGTGTGATGGAATAGCAGGTTGTGGAGGAGTTATAAGGGGAGATTGTGGGGAATGACTGAGTGGCTTTTTAGTTAGATTAAATAATTGCAGCTCCCTGGAAGCTGAAGCATGGGCAGTCCTCGAAGGTCTAATATTATGCTGGGATATGGGGTTCAAAAGAGTTGAAGTGGAGACAGATGCTGCACAGATCACTGGAGCTGTGCTATTTAATAACCCGGTAATAGGAAATGTGCAAATATTCACAAGGATTAGGATGATGCTGGAAAAGACGTGGCAAGTGTAGGTGAAACATGGATATAGAGAGAGTAACAGAGTTGCGGATAAAATGGCTCACTTGAGTGCTCAACAAAGTGACAGGAGAAAGATTTGGTCCTTGCCACCTCCGAAAGTATATCAGATGCTCCAAGATGATTGTTCAGGATTAGGTGTCATTCGTAGAGTGAATATGTAACTTCTTGGGTTATACCCTCCTTCACCAAAATAAAAAGAAGGTAAATTGATTGAAGTACAATTCGAATTTGTTTGCTCCGATCCAATTAGAACACCTTTTTTGGTACATGCCTTTTTAAGCCTAGGCAAAAAAATAGTACTCATTCGGTACTTAATGTAAGAGCTAATTAACATATTTGAATAGATTAAATATATTAGTTAGATTAATTAATATGATATGTTTTTTTTAAAATATCCTAATCATCTTCTTTAATTTTCTTTCTCCATCTTCTACTTAATTATTGTTGAATAAATATTAATAGAGTTAATTTGATAAAAAATTACTAAATATGCGAAATAACATATAAAACCAATATTAACTCTTAAATTAGATCCTATATTTAGCATGAAGAGTAATTTTTTAATTGAGTTTTAATTTCCTCACTTCTCAAAAGCACCTTAGTTCTAGACATTAAAAAATAGTCATTAACCACCACCCGCATCAAAGAGGAATAAGCATTTTGTTTGGTAACTTATCTTAAATTATACTACCTTCCGTCTTTAATAAAAGAGTTAGTTTAATTGTTTATTTGGTTTTAAATGTAAAACCCACATCTATGTCGTCTCTCATGTTTATTTATTTATTTAATATAGTATTTATTATAGTTACACAACTTAGATGTTTCGTCAAATATTAAAGCTGATATACTTGATTAACAAAAATATTTTAGAGAAGATAATATGTATTTATTACAAATAAATAATTTAAATTTTTTAATCTACTAAAATTAATCAACTAGTTCTTATATTAATAATCGAAAATGTATATTTTTTTCAAACAGAAAAACTCCGATTAGAATAACAATTATGCAAACATTATGACCAGGAATAGTCATCAATCATAAAATCTCGCTTAAATGAACAAGCATGTAAGTCAAAAGAAATCTCACTTAAACAAACAAATGTTGCACCTTTTTTGGTCTGAACAAACACTATAACAGAAATAATTTTCACATATTTTAATTTTTAATCAATCACCTAACAATTCAAAAGAAAAGGGGGGCGGGGAAGCCAAGCTATCCACGTCAGGCTAGAAACTTCATTAAAAAATTGTTGTGGTCAATTCCACCGCTGTGACTTGAATAGAACCAACAAATGTAATAACAGTAATAGCATGTTTTCAATTTGGGTGCCCATTGGTAACCCATAAAAACACTTTGAGCCACCAACAGGGCCGCCAATCTGATCCGAATAGCTTATTCTCATTTCCTTTTAATTTTATCGAAAGGAACGGAGAATTGCTTCCGAGGTTGACTTTGTTCGTCGTTGAGATCGATTTGAAATTTCCCTCTGTCGTAGCATCCGATTGAAAGGGGAATCAATCATCGATACTTCCAATAGCGAGCAAAGCGAGCGAATATATGGCGTGCATTGTAAATTTCCCAGCACTTACAAATCCCAATCAGCCTCATGCTTCTTCTACCCTGTCGCCTGTTCGCTGCTCTGCGAACTTGTCTAAGTCTCTTGCTTCCCAGCTTTCTTTCGTTTCTTCCTTTGATCATGGATTTGGCTCTGATGCCTCAATTAGATTTCACTTGAAGAAGTCTCCGACGATGAAGGCTTTCAATTCTGCGGTATGTGGAGGTTCTCATGTAAGTTCGCGTTTGTACGAATGTGGGTTTTTTCCCTCTCCCGTCTGGCGAATGTTAGTTGAATTAGTATTGGGTTCACGTGAAATGTTTCAATTGGTCGAAAATTTTTCACGTGAAATGTTTCAATTGCTCGAAAAATTTTGAAACTTGAGTTTCCAATCTTAAACTATTCATAATTAGAAATTCCAGTACGTTCAGCATAAATATTTTGTTTTTGTTGTTATTTTCATAGGCTTAATGTGATGCGTTAAGTTATCGCTAGGTAGTGGAGGGGGGGAAAGAAGAAAGGATCAGTAGCACCTTCAATATGCGACTGTCCTTTCTGGGCTGACAATCTCTGTAAACTTGGCAGATTGTTGCATCTGTAAAGCTTGAGCCGCCGAAGATTATGATTTCTGGTGCTCCTGCATCAGGTAAAGGAACACAATGCGAGCTTATCACCAAGAAGGTATGTATTTCACTTTTGCTAATAGTACACCTCTTCTCGCAAGACAAAGCTGACCTAGTTGATTATAATAATTGTATATACTTGCAGTTCTAAATCATTTAATCTCTCTACAGCTGTTTGTATTGCAATGTATACTACTGAACTTTATATTTCGGTAAACACGGCCATTCATTTATCTTAATTATTTGGAAAAATGTGATTCAATGCAAACTCTGCACTATTGTGTTGAGGAAAAATTAAACGATAATTTATGTTCATTGCTTATTCATGTTAGTCAATTTAGTTTCCTCACCATCATTGTTTTTATTCATATTCCCTTTAAAAGAAAATTGCTGACTGGACAACATTTTGATAACTTTTATGTCATCAGTTAAATCAGAAACTTATAAATAACTGTAGCATTTGATTATTTATCATGTTGAATTTTTATGGCCTCATGCATCACAGAAGACAAAATAGGTAGTTGAAAATAAGAAGAGAATAAAATGGAATAAGTAGCCAAAATCCCACCAAAGTTTCTGTTTAAACCGTATTCTCTTGAAGATGGACCGGCAGTCAGTTTTTTGGGCCTTTTTAGATCCTTCATTAATATTTTGATTTTTGAATTTAATTGATCAACTGAAGTTTACAAACTCCTTTTGTTGCCGGATTTCCAGTTTTGTACTGACCAGAGACAACAGTTTTCAAGTCAATAACTTGCTTGATGGAAAGGAAAAAGGTTGTGATTAAGAGATCACATTAAAATTAGTTTGGTCTGGCAAATGCATGCTTTTGCTCTTTCTATTTTCTTCTAGGTGATAAGAATGATATGCCTTCACAGCAATTGCAAAGAACTAGTTTGATTTGGTTGTATGATGTTTCAAGGAATCCTCCACATCAATTCGTATGGGTTTGAGTTTGATCTTGAATACCATTTTTCTATGTCGAAAAACTAAACACCTTAAATCCATTATCCGGAGCATGCCTTTGCGTTATTGCTGCTATCTTATATTTCCATGCACTCGACTGTCTGCCTCTGTTTTTAAGATATTTAAAAAAGTTACTGACTATGATTTAAGTCTCTTATTTCTGGTTTTCCTTGGAAAAGCCAGATTGAATCAAGTGCTCATCATATATGCAGTATGGTTTGGTGCATGTGGCTGCTGGAGACTTACTTAGGGCAGAAATTGCAACAGGAAGTGAAAATGGAAAGCGAGCAAAAGAATATATGGAGAAAGGACAATTGGTCCCAGATGAAATAGTTGTCATGGTAGGGGGGAAAAGTTTCTATTCAAATCGTGCTGTTCGTGTCTGTGATATGTTGATGTTCATGCTGTAGATGGTCAAGGATCGTCTCTTCAAGCCAGACTCTAAAGAGAATGGTTGGCTTTTGGATGGATACCCCAGGAGCTTATCACAGGCAACTGCATTCAAGAAATTTGGGTTTGAGCCAGATCTTTTTATTCTTCTAGAGGTATTTGTTGTTTTAGGAGTTGATAGTTGACATCATTTATCCGATAAAAGCTCACATTCTATATAAACTTATAATTGTACTTCTCATCTTTGAGTTGGTTAATATTCTTTCCTCAAGTAAATTGTTTATCCAGACCAGCAATGATACTATATAAACCCTTGAGGAGTCCAACTGATACCTTCAGTTTTGTGATCATGGTACTTCTTTCATCCCCAACTGAAGTCATGCATCCTTGCCTGAGTAAGCCCAAAGAGAAAACCAAGAACCATAATGCGAACTAACAGTGAAGTAGAAGTTGGCTAACTATTTAAACATGATTCACTTTCACTTAAGACACTAACATTGAGCAAAAAAGTGACATGAACAAAAAGTGACATTGGTTTGACTTTGCTGGAGGGCCCTTTTACTTCAGCAGCCAGGGATCACAAACGTAATAAAAAATTTTCAAATGCAAATGCTTTTGTCATGACTTTTCACTTTAATTTTCAGGTCTCTGAAGATGTTCTCGTGGAGAGAGTAGTTGGACGAAGATTAGATCCTGTTACTGGAAAGATATATCATTTGAAGTACTCTCCCCCAGAGAATGAGGAAATTGCAGCAAGGCTTACCCAACGTTTTGATGATACTGAAGAGAAGGCATGAATATGTTACCATAAATTTTCACATGCTTTGCGTCCATCACGACTCTAACCTTTCTGTTACAAAATGCTTCTTTTTATGACATTTAGAGTTTCCCACTCTTTTTGCAGTTTGCTTGGAGTTGAGTGAACAGTCAATTACACCCCCACTAAAAGTTCTCATTTATTTTCCTGTTTGGTTTCATAGGTTAAGTTGCGATTGCAGACCCACCATCAAAACGTAGAGGCAGTCCTTTCTATGTATGAAAATATAACCGTTAAGGTATGTTATAAACAACCCCCCCCCCCCCCCAAACAAAGGGAAAACAAAAAACACACATGCACAGACATAAATATGCGCAAGCACAATGATGCGATAGATACCTACATTTATGTCCAGTTGCTCATGTGTTCATGCTTTTCCTCCTGTGAGATTGATGTTATTGCCACTAGGGTTACCCATTGTTTTAGCCACTGATTGTTTGAATAGGCTTCAATGTGTAGGCTATATTGGGTAGTATGGATGTCTATGTGTCACCGTTTTATGATGCTGTGCTTTGCCCATCATCATTGATCACATACAATATGTATAATGAGGAAATGACGAGATTATACAGTTTTTCCTTTTTTTGTGCCCACTGCGTATTATCTTCCCTCTCCCGTCTCTGATTTTTGTCCTTTACTTTTCTGGACAAGCACTACTGGCAGTGCGGGGATAAGATTCCAAATGGTACTCGGACCTTCGGCAGCCATGTTTTTGGTGGCTTGCCATCTTCATTGAAAACTGTATTCTATCTGGTCGTGGCTGTCTAAATATGTTTCTTGATCACTCTTTGGTGCTTAAAATGTAGTAAAATATATTATATAGTTTAGTTTTCTTTGCTGTTTATAAAATATTTTGGTGATGAATCCTGTCGTATTTGCTTTTGTTGTCTTCAGATTAATGGAAATGTCTCCAAGGAGGAAGTATTTGCTCAAATTGATAGCGCAATTACAAATTTGTTAGAACAGAGGAAGGCTGCTTCGGGATCCATGGCAGCATAGGGATAACAAGGGACTACTTGCTAGGAATGTAGTTTCTAAGCAACAAATATTACAAGGGGATAAGAAAGCCTTCGCGAAAAGTAAAACGCATTTTCTGGACTCACTAAGTTGCTGAAAGATGGACCTGCTCAAGTATGTTTCACTTTATTCTCTGGCAAAGCATTATGATATTGTAATAGGATAGGCATGTTATATGTTCAAAATAGCGTTGAATGGAGGATTTGGTGAAATGTTATTTGTTGATTCATGCTAGAGAAACACCTTAAAACCCATAAATTTTATATTCTTTGATCATATTATTCGCTTTGATGTAGGAATATAATAATGGATACGGAGATTATTCACAAAATACTTTTTTTTGTTTTGCTTGTAGATTATTTATTTAAATGTTTTCGTTAGAACATTTTTTTTAAAAAAAATTATGTGGTGGTAAGTGTTGAACCAGTCAAAATACAATATATTGCTCATCTAGTTGTTTCTTATGAAATCTTTGTCAAACCAGTTAGAATATAAATTATTTTAGGTTGGGGATGTGAAATCAAGAAACAATTAAATATGAAAAATTAATTGATCGAAACCACACAATCACAGGAGAGAGAGAAAAATATTTGAAAAAAAAAACAAGGGACCAAAGTAATGTTCAAACTGACAAAAAAAAAACTTGTGTGGATGACACAAAATTGAAGTAAATATATTAAACAAGTGACAGAATGGGAAAAACTACAAAAGAGGATCAATATATAAACAATCAGCTTCCTTTGAAGTCTGAAGCTAAAGAAAGATACACCTTCACAAGAAAAATGAATAAGTTGCGCCTCTACTTCAAAAAAGGAAAAGGCACATCCTGACTCGTGAGGGACAAAGTAGGCTTCATTTGATCCATGGATCAAGTGAATCAACAACGGTAATTCACCAAAACCATAAATTGTCCCCTCTAATTACTCACACCCCAATGAGATTTATTGGCCTTCCCTTTCACGCCGTGTCCTAAAAGAGTTCTTGAAATAATAGGAAGTTGAATGAATGTGGGTTTTGCTAAGAATTTTTAACTCAAGTAGTACCCCACATCATATCTCAAAAAAAAAAAGGACTGTGGATTCTATATTCTAAATAATTAAAATAAAAGACAAGTATATGATCAATCAATAAGAATTGATCATAGAAAAAGAAACTAATCCTTCAATGAAACAAATCAAGATTTGAATTTTTATTAAAAGATATGCCTGTATTTAATATATGACGGTGTTTTGAATAGAATTATCTCTAACGAGAGGATATCTATACATTAAAAAAAAAAGAAGATTAGTGTACTAGTATGGAAAGTGGGTTAAATTGCCCAAATAATAATAATAGTAATAAAAGGAGAATGAATGTGGGTTTCAAAATATGCTTGTAGTGCTTGCTAAGTGACAAAAACATAGATGAAGGAATGGGTGATTCACTGATTTGTTAGGGCCATCCTCATGTTCCACCACCGGTAAATGGATATATAAAATAATCTTTGAAAAAAAAAAGAAAAAAGAAAAAAGAAAGCAATGGCCGCCCCATGAGAAGGACAGTGGGGGTAAGAAAGTCAAAAGGGAATGGGGCCATCCACAGATGAGAAATTGCGTATTTGCTTACGATCCAAATCTGATGGGGTTTCCCTTTAGGAGGCAGTGGCTTTCACGGTGACCTCCATATTTGACCTGGGGGCCTTCTCCAACGCATAATTTGAGGAGCCAACATCAAACACTGTTCAATGCCTTATCCATCAGAATCGATCAGATCAAACCCCATCATCGCGGGAATGAATTGGTAATCTGCGTTAATGGAAATCGTGATTTTTTTTTTATCATACTTGTTTTATTAAAGAAATAATAAATATCTAAAAACTACTAAAAATATCAATCAATCAATATCAATACTGTAAATAAAATCAAAATCACAGGTAACTATCCACACATTCCCTCTTGCCCTTGATTTCTGTGCATTTTTTCTGTTTTTTTTTTCCAATTTTACTAACCTTTCTTACCCGTGCAGTGTGAGTGAAACCTTGTCCAGTGTATACATTATTATATTAATGATTTTATAATTAAGCGGCATGGAAAATTTTTTTATAAATGCAATTAAAAAAATATAATCATCAAAAGATTTTCCTAACAAGTGAGTAATATGGACTGATTATCACTTTTTTTCCTGAAATTTGTCATTCAACACTATTTATGAAATTTCACAATAATTTCCCTATTAAACATATTTATTTCATATTATAGGACATTCTTCATTCCTTTGCTCGTCCTCTCACTCATTTTCATTTCCATAAAAAGGATTTCTTCAAGCAAAATGCAATCGGCGCCTACAAATTTTCAACAATGTTCATTTTAAAATCTTAATCCTTCATGTTATCCAAAAAAAAAAATGTAACCTTTCATCATATTATGAATTATATAAAATTTATAATTCATAATGTTATTAGTAAAGTATAGACAGCATAGTTCACCTTGAATATTCAAGAAAACAAAGGGATTCTCTCTCTATATATACCACTTTAGGTTATTAATATAAAAGTTTATTTTATTTTTATTTTGGTTTTAAATATAAAACTCAATCTACTTTGTCTTTTATATTTATTTTTTTTAAATAATCCTTATAATAATAGTTGTTATAGCTAATATATTTGAGTAGTAGAAATATTTTACAAAAATAACATATTTTTTTATATACTTAAATTAATTAATTAGGTTTTATATTTAAAAAAAAAAAAAAAGAAGCAGTGGTATAATCAATAATGAGCTTGTTTGTCAAGTCGCTTTGGGAGGTAATCGCGCGATATCAATGAGAAATCGTGTGATTGATGAAATAAAGCCCAGATAAGTCAAAAATATAAATTGGTTACTTATGCTTTTCAATCGTGGAGAGAAAAAAGTGAGAAGTGTTAAGAGGTGGAGAGAAGTTAAAATAAAATAAAATTAATTGATCTGCAAGTCCTTATAATTTTAACTAATTTTGAATTAGGTTCTTATAGTTTTTTTTTATCAAGTTCTTATACTCTTAGCTATTTTTAATTAGGTCCTTGAATTTATTTTTCTTTTTATTAAGTCCTTATAATTTCACTAAATTTTTAATCAGGTCCATGTAGTTTTAAATTTTATTTATTAATTAAATATAAAATTAATTAAATAGATTAATACTGAAACATAAAATATTGATAATTAAATTAAATTTATAATTATATAATAAAAAAAGTAATATAATTAACTAATACAGGAAATTTTTTAGAACAATTAATATTTTCTCGCTGGCAAAAATAAAATTATTATAATAATTCATTATTTTTAGAATATTGTTGTTTATGAACTAATATTAAATAACATGTACTATTTTGTGTTAATAGAATAGTATTATTAGAATTTATAAAATAAAAAATAAAAAATTTAAGGACTTAATTAAAAATAAAATGAACTTATAAAGACTTGATAAAAAGAAAATAAATACAAGGACTTAATTAAAAACTAGTAAAAGTATAAGGACCTGATAAAAAAGAAAAAACTATAAGGAAGTAGAAGGACCTGATAAAAAAGAAAAAATATAGGGGCCTAATTCAAAATTAGTTAAAGTTATAAGGATTTACAAATTAATTATCCAAAAAAAATTGGGTTTCCACCTTTGAGAAATTTTTACTCTTTTTAATTCTTATTACAAGCTAAAAATAACTAATTTATGAATAATAAAAAATTATTTAAAATTAATTAAAAGTAATAAATAGGTTACAAATACACTTTTGATTTCAAATGCTCCTCCGATCATATTATAAGCCAGAAGGAGAAATTTTTCTTAACCTTACTTATGAGTCACCTTTTTAAATTTTTAATATGAATATGTTATTTTATTTTTTATTTATTATAGTATAAATGATTATTTTTGAAATATATATTAAATAGAGATAAAGTGAAAAATTATTATATTTAAAAATAGAATCAATACAGTTTAATATTTTTCTTAATATGTGTAAATTATATTAAAAGTGCCTTATAAATAAGATGAGATGAATATGTCCTTATAATCCAAACAGTTTTTTTACTCTACAAACTAATTTTTATAAAAGTCAATCTGAACACAAATTATCTTATTAATTTAATTTTTATATAATCTTTTTTTTAAAAAATCAGATTTAAAATAAGTTTTTTTTTAACTGCTAATCAAGCAGACCCAATGTAACACATGCAATTTGCACAATCTTCAGAACTAGACATGGTGCTCCGGTAAAAAAAAAAAAAAGAACTAGACATGGTCCGGGTCTGGATCCTCTCAGCGGCCTCCCTCTCAACGTCCCTCAGCGTCTCAATATGATGCGTCCAGATTGATCTAAAAGCTCATAATATGCCACATCATCATGCTATTAAAAATTAAAAATAAATTTGACTAATTCTTTTGGAATGGAACACCTAAATTTTTGGACCTACTCCTCTCGTTCTATTTATAAGATAGAGAGAGAAGATTTTTTTTAATTTCTATTTATAAGTCAATTTATTAAATTTTTATCATGAACATACCATATTATCCTTAATTTATTATAGTGTATATAGTTTTTTTAAAATGTGTATATATTAAATAGAGATAAAATGAAAAAGTTGCTATATTTTAACAAAGAGTTAATACAGTTTAAGATTTTTCTTGATTTGTGTAAAATATGTTAAAAGTACTTTATAAATAGAACAAGAAGTACTTATTTTAACTGTAAAATTTATTGGAGTCTCTCGTCAATTCTCTAGTTGAAATAAGCTACGTGCAAAAATTGGATATTCCATAATAAAAAAATCTTTAAAAAAAAATCAAAGCTGGTAAAAAATTTTACAACATAAATAAACTTATTTTTTAATTTTTAATAGCATAATAATATGTCACATCATGCGCTCTCAGATGAATCTCAACGGCCATAATTTGGACGCTGAGGGACGCTGAGAGAGAGGGACGCTGAGAGAGAGGGCCGCTGAGAGTATCCTCTTCCGACATGGTCCAGCCCTGTGAGTGTATCGACATTCGTGATTCTGACCTCACATCGCACTCAATACAGTCGTCGCATGTTCATTCGCCCCGGCACAAGATTCCAGCGAGACCAGGATTCCCCTGCTTCACTTTATGGAGTTCAAGAGCGCATTTCCTCAACTTTTCTTGCAGCGATCGACCATGGCGATAATATCTCTGTTTCTCATCTTTCTCCTATATGCTGCGACGGTGGTGTCTGCTGATCTCCGACCAGGGTTTTATCAGACCACATGCCCTGACGCCGAATCCATTGTCCGAGACGTCATGAAAAAGCCCTAATCAGGGAGCCCAGAAGCGTGGCCTCCGTCATGCGATTCCAGTTCC